TCTTCTTGTTGTTTTTTTATAAATAAAGATAGAAACCAGTGCTAACACTATCATGCTCTCTCTAACAAAAAAAACATTGAACAGTGTAGGATGTTCCTACGTGGTATAAGAGGAAAAAAGAAAATTAATGCAAAACTTTTGTCCCATCCGTTAATATTTTTCAAAGGCTATAATCAGTGTGAGTACCCTCAGGACATTAAAGTACGAAGAAAACTTGTTTTCTTATATATCATTCGATGTGCCGCAATTTGCTCTATAAAATCCTTTATTTTGTTTTTATAAATGAATAAGTTGAGAAATCCGACGCAGTCCTTTAAATTCCTAAAAATCCAATTGTGTCTATAATGATAAATGTCATTTTTTTGTTTGTGCTAGACGATAATAATATCCTTTGCGAGCTAATAATTCATCATGTTTACCAGATTCAACAATACGACCATGATCAAGAACACAAATAAGATCAGAATTTTTTATTGTTGATAAATTATGTGTAATAACAATTGTTGTACGACCTTTTGATGCTTGATCAAGTGCTTCTTGAACTATACGTTCACTTTCTGTATCAAGTGCACTCTAATTAAAAATATACAAAATAATTAATAAATAATATTCAATCATTGCTTACTGTTGCTTCATCAAGTAATAAGATCTTTGGATTACGAATAAGTGCTCGAGCAATAGCTAAATACAAAAAAAAAACAGAGATTTCTATTATGAAATGATTGATTTATTTCTTACCAATTCTTTGTTTTTCTCCACCAGATAATTGTGTACCTTTGAAACCAGCATTTGTTTCATATTGTTCTGGTAAATTTTCGATAAATCGTTGAATATTAGCATTTTTTGCTGCTTCTTGAATTTCTTTCATAGATACTTTTCGTGATGTATCACCATAAGCAATGTTTTCTCTTATTGTTGCATCAAATAAAATTGGTTCTTGACTTACAAAGCCAAGTTGACTTCTCCACCATTGAAGATTCAATGTTGATAATTCATTTTGATCAATTAACTAAAATTTTATGGATTGATTTCATATTTCGATAATTATTTTAACTTACCAGTTGTCCATTAATTGGATCATAAAAATGTTCAAGTAATTGAATAATTGTACTTTTTCCACAACCTGATGAACCAATAAGAGCAACTTGTTTATCTAAATTACAAAAGATTTAGAACGTTGTCTTGTACAAAATTGATTTTCATACGAGGTTCAACTCTTAAATTAAAATTTTTCAAAACTTGTACTTCTGGTCGATTTGGATAATGAAATTCCAAATTATTTAAATCAATTTGACCAGCAAAATTTTCCTTTAAAAAAAATCAAATAATAACAAAAAAAAAACGTTTTTCAATTTGATTTTCTCTTACTAATATTTTTCCATTGGTCGAAGAATTATCAATTATTGGTACACGATTAAATAAAGTCAAAATTTTTTTCGATGATGCCTATATGTCATCACAACAGTTAATTTTATTATTTAGTTTCAAACATACGATTGCTTTTGAATAATCTGGCGACATTGATGTTGTTTGACCAACCTTTATAAAATAAAATCAAATTCTAATATATTCATTTCTATGAATAACTCACAGCCATTGCACCGAAAAGTATACAACTAAGTACACTAATTCAACAGAATAAATTAATAAAATCTTTATTTCTAATTGTTCTGACTTACAGCGTAATACTTTCAAAACTAAAAACATAAAAATCAAATCTAATATGATATAAAATTAAACAATATAGTTTACGTCATTGCTCCTTGTTCAACTCTCCAAGCTCCAAAAGAGAACAAAGCTACTTGTGCAAAGAACATAATCTTTAAATAATTAAATTAAATTCTGCAAATTTAATTAATAAAATAAAATCTTACTGAATCAGTAAAACTGAACAAAATTCCAAATACATGTATTCGTCTTAAACTATTTCTATAATGAACAACAAAATCAGAACATATTTTAAAAAATTTTCTATTGCACATACTTAAAAGAAATATCAAGTAATTTACAATATTCATCACCAAAATGTTTTTCTTTTGTTAGTTGTGCTACTGCTCGAATATTTGATATAGCTTCAACAGCAATCTATTATATAAATAATTATTTCAAATTTTATTTTTCTTCATAAAAACCTTTCCAGCATCTTCTAAAACTTGTCTGTCCTATAAAAAACACCAATAGAAAATCTTCATTGCAACTCTTTTTTTTTTGAACGCACTTTATTAGCAAATCCAGTCAACAAATATATTTGTAAAAATCCAGCAAGAATCATAAATGGAACAAAAGCTAATATAACTAAAGTTAATGACCAACCATAAATAAATGCTAAAACTATTCCAACACCAAGATTTGATATATTTTGTAATATTGTTCCAATTCGAACACCAGTAGCCTATAAAAATCACTTAAATTATTTTTAATTTAAGCAAAAGAAAAATTCTATGTTTACTCCTTGAACATCAGATGCTTCAGTTGCAAGTCGAGTACATAAAGCACCTGTATTGTTTTCTGCTTGATCAAAATAAGCAACTCCTTGTCGTAATAAAGTTCGAAAGATTTTTGTACGAAGACGTTGTGTTAATGCTTCACCCGATAGTGCAAACAAAAAACTCTAAAATCAAGTATACTTCTTCACAATATTCCTTAGACCAAACAACAAAAAGTGACTTTCTGTTAGAAAAAAACTGCGGTTAAATGAAAGAATTTTTGAGCTACCTTGAATCTTTAGTCAAACGGTGGAGATTGAAGAGAAAAAAGACATAAAAAAATTCAATATTTACTTGTAAAAACATGGTGATAAACATTAGAAAACCAAGGCCAATAAAGATCAAAATATACATCAATATCCGACGTTGTTGAACATTTGAATCGCATATTTGAAAAACCTTATTGAAGAAATAAGGATAAAAAAAATCTCCCCCGCCAAAACAGACAAACTTTTGAGAAAACACGTTTAAACGCATAGAAATTGGCCTAAAATCGGCAAGAAGTGACCGTTTTTGGCTCACAGTCGGGAACCGCGAGTGTGAGCCAAAAACGGCCACTTCTTGCTGATTTTAGGCCAACTTCTATGCGTTTAAACGCGTTTTCTCAAAAGTTTGTCTGCTTGGACAGAAGAAAAATGTTCCATTTTCCATTTCATTTTTCATCACTTAATACGTGATATTAAAAAAAAACAAATTATACCACAAGATTCAGCGTGAAAAGTTCTACAATTTACATAGAACAGCCTATTCTATAGTTGTACTTTTTTATTTTCAAAATGGACGAGATTGTGAACCACTGATTTTTGACCAGGATTGCCAGATCATCTGACTCGGGCAGAAAAATTCCGAATTCTTATGTTTTTTCCGATCGCTTTCCGAGTGCTCGAATTCATCCAAATCTTAAGGTTTTTCGAATCGTGATATTCTCTAGATTTTTCCTGTATTGTAGTCTTTCCTATAAATTTTATTAACTATTACTGTAACATATTTCTTTTCCTATAATCATTGGATAATTTACTGCATTCTGGCTGATACAGTGCATTTTACGCTGACTTCAGTCTAAGGTTTATTCGAATCACTCTAAATATCTTTGTTTCATTAAATTCATTAGAATAAGCGACATTCCACAAAATGAACTGACTGTTAAGTTTAACAAAAGATGCAGTTTTACATATTAATTCTAGCACTTTAGATTGAATTAGAGTAAATATGGATGAGTCTTTTTTACATTGTTTTGAACTATGCGTATATATATATATATTTATTTTGCCTTCTTGTTTTCGATTAACAACATGTTTTCTGAGAAAAATAGATTTTTAATAATGAATTAACTATTGTATTTTTCTTTACTAACCTACGATGCAAAAGTATCCGTACAAATGTGTGCGTTATTGTACAGCGAGGATATAAAGTAAAAAATCGAACTAACACGTGTTCTGATAGAGCGAAAAAAGCTCTTTCGAATGATATGTAACTTCTCTGTTCATAATCATTGATGAGACTAACACGACAAGAACACGAAGCGATAGCAAAACAAATTGTTACCTACCATATTTCTTGTGCAAACTCTGTTTCAAAAATAACTGTTTCTCACTTTGTAAAACAAGGAATTCCATGTCAAACGATCTATGATGTTTTGAACCGGTATGATGAACGTAAAGCAACAAGTTTTTTTATCAAAGTCTGGTCGACCATTAAATCTTTCAAGTAAAGAAGTACAAGTACTAGTCAAAAGTGTTAACAACAAGACTGGTATCAGTCAACGCCGACTTACACAACGATTTGGTGTTCATCAATTAACGATTTCACGTACTCTTAAGAACAAAACCACAGTCAAAATATGTACTCAAAAATCGGCACCGAAATATGCAAATGAAAACCAAAAAAGACGTGCTCAATTAAATTGTTGGAAGCTTTACAAAATTTTGAAATCTCATGTCTAGCTGATTTTAGATGACGAAAAATATTTTTCACTGACTGGAGATATATCGTGTAATCGTAAATATTATACTACTGATCCATCAATAGTACCAACCGAAGTGAAATATAAAACAAAAATGAAATTTGAACCGAAGCTGCTTGTTTGGGTGGTAGTATCTCAAAAAGGCATTTCATCGATTTACGTTCATCGTTCAACAATAGTCATCACGCAAAAGATATATTTAAATGAATGTATACATAAATGATTACTTCCATTCATCAACCGTCACCACAAATGTGATAATATTTTATTTTGGCCCGATCTTGCGTCATCACATAATTCAAAACAAATTCAAGATTTTCTTATGGCAAACCAGATCAATTTTGTACAACGTCAACAAAATCCTCCCAATGTTCCTCAAGCACGTCCAGTCGAAACAATCTGGTCATTATTATAACAGAAGATGTATGAAGGAGCTTGGGAAACAAAAAAATTAAATCAATTGACGAGAAGAATAATTTTCAAGGCAAAACAATTGGATCAAGACGTGGTAACAGATATGATCTTAGGCATTCGAAGAAAACTTTTGAAAATGTACAAAGACGATGTTTATAGTGCTTGTTAACATGTTATAAGAACTACTTTTTGTGCTCTTTTTAATGAAATATAAGCCATGAAAATCGGTTGAATTCTTGCTTCACATCACGCCTTAACATTTGTACGGATACTTTTGCATCGTAGGTTATCAATGAACTGTTCGTCAGTAAATCATAATCAATAAAGAAAAAGAGTATTTTATAACAAAAAAAAAGTCAATATATGCATCGAACAGTTTGATAATTGTTTTCTGAATATTTTTCCGAATTTTTAGAGAATAAATTCCGAATTTTTCCGAATTTTAGTACAAAAAAATCCGATTTTCAACTTTTCAATCTGACAACCCTGTTGTTGACCCTTCAAAAAAAAATAATTTTTTAGTACACGACAAATTCGCTTTTTCTTATTTCATCTTTTCGTCAATAATACGGTGTATTAAGAAAACAAAATATATTACCAGATGCAGCATGAAAAGCTCTGCAGGATGTGGGTGTGGGTGTGGGTGAGGGTGAGGGTGTTGGTGAATGGAACACTTTGACCCACAGCCACAGCCACAGTCACAGCCACACTCACCCACACCCTTATACAAACGATTAATATCCAGAAAACAGAGTGACTGTACGTGCACTTATTTATCGTTATTTATAACGATCAGGAGCAAAAAATAAGGTGGTTGAGTAGAAAGCAGATAATTTTCTCAAATATGATTTGTTTAAAGCGTATGAAACAGCTATATGATATACCCGATACTTGAGTAATAATGTCAAGAATCATACAAACTTTTAAAAACTAGGGTTTTTTGTTATCGGTCGTTATTTATAATAATAAATAAGTGCAAGTACAGTCACTCTGTTTTCTGGGTATTGATCGTTTGTATAAGCAATAGAAAAGAAGATAACATTAAATGGAAGACAAAGATCAGAAGAAAGGACTAGAAGAGAACATGATAAGTAAACAGTTCTCTTGCTATCGCGACGATCGAGAAGAACATATGAAAGAAAAGCGATCACCTTAGCAACAAATAAGTTAATACAGGACCATTTTAATGCATGTTCGTGGCCAACAAACGAATTCGAAATAAGGCTCATTCGATTTTAAATGAGACGTATTCTCTTATACATGAGCGTCAAAATATATTAATACTAGAATGTGTGTTTATGTTGTAGAAGTAATTAAAATTTTAATTTTTCTTATAGGAGAATTTAAAATTTTCCTGAATTTCAATTTCTCCTACAACATATACATGATATAAATTTTTGATTTCAATGTGCCATAGATTGCTTAATGGGTGAATAATACTTTCAAAGTGAGCGATCAGTTGTCTTTGAAGAAATACAATCAAAGAAAGTTCAACTTTGGACGCAAAAGGCAGGACAAAAGGAAATGTTCTGCAATAGTCATATTGAGAAACGAATGCAAAAAGAAGAGAGGAATAAACAAATCGAAAAATAATTAATCGAAGCAATAAGGAAAGGCACCATCGTGTACCAATAAGTGATCTTGTTTGCAGCATCAAAAAGAAGTCACAAAGAATTTTGTCTATTTTGAAAACCAAAAGTGCATATACAAAATAAATTGTTTTTTGTATATTGTAGAGGTTTTCATGCTGCATCTTGCGGTGTGTTCTGTTTTCTTTTTAATAAAAGATATTAGGTGATTAACAGATTAACTAAGAAAAAACCGAATGCCTCGTGTATCAAAAAATTTTTTTTTTCAATGAGCGAAAAATTAGTGGTTTAGAATTTCGTCCATTTTGAAAAAAAAAAGGTACAACTATAAAATAAGCTGTTCTATGTAAATTGTAGAACTTTTCAGGCTGAATCTGGTGGTATAATTTGTTTTTTTTGATACCACTTATTAAGTGATGAAAAAATGAAATGGAAAAAGGAACTTTTTTCTTCCGAGGGAGAATTGAATTTTTTAAAGATACAATAAAATAACTTACTGCAATAATTTTACTGAAAATAATACCAAATGCCGGTTGAATGCCTTAAAAACGAACTCAAATATAAAATAAAAAATAAAAAAAATCCGCCATTATCTAACCTCCATTACAAATACATGACATACAAGCAAATATAATAAAGCACATTTCGGGTTTATTCATTTTAAGCATTGCTAAAAATGGTGAAGGTCCAGTATACTAAATAAAAAGTCAAAACAAATTTCTTATTTATTCATTATTGTTTTCTTAAGTAAGTATCAGTGTAGTGAATATATGCGTGCAAACATGACAATACACCATAAAAACAATTAAAATTTATTACATCCATCGAAGAATGATCCTTTCATTCAAGAATAGGTGTACAACTACTCGCTATCAAGTATCGGAGCTTGTTTCAATCCTTGTGCTCTTTTGAGATGAGCGGAATCTAATCACCAGCTGTTTAATTTATACAGAAGTTATGCATTTAAATATTGAAAAAATAAATCACAGATATTCTAATCATAATAAATAAACTATACATGTAATAGATTCGGTCAAAGACTAGCTTGAGTATGATTCGAATGGGTCGCGTTAACTTTGTCGACAAATTGTTTTACCTACAGGTACTTTTTTGCCGACAAAATTTGCCCATATCTTAGGCCATTAAATCTGGTGGTTTCCAGGGTACATCACGAGAATGAGGGTGAGAAGTGGATTGTGAGGATGTATTTGGATTGAGGGTGAGGGTGAAAGGATAATCCTCACAATCCACTCCTCACCCTCATTCTCGTGATACGCCCTGGAAACTACCAGGTTTAATGGCCTAAGATATGGGCAAATTTTGTCGGCAGAACAAATTGTCGGCAAAGTGACCCAGATCCGATTCGAATATTGAACTAAAAAAGCCATATTCTATTCATGATATTTTTGCCGATTGTTTCGCATTACAAATCTGGCATAATATATGAAGAGTTAGTAATATTTCCTATGCATTTTAGATAGAAATATTATGTAAATTTGAAAGAATGTTGCAAGATTCTGACACCAGATTGTTTTAATAAGATAACTGTCACAATATTGATGTCCAGCTCCAAAAATATTAAGCAAATAGACTGTTCGAAGACCTTAGATAATATGAAATTTTGGATGATTAGATTCCGCTCATATAAAAAGAGCTGATCATCAGTAGTTTGATTCAACTCCTTAGACTCATATAGCTGTGAGCTATCAAACACGTATTCAAGGTGAAATGTGACCATCTTCAAACAGAGAAATATATGGCACATATTTTTTTCGTAGTTTTAAGAAATGATTATTGTTGTTGAATATATAAGATTTTATCTTTTATTTTGTTTTTCACTTACTAATAACCTTTTACTATATTAGTCAAGTAATCGCACACAGAATTAGTTGTTTTAAAAGAATCAATATAAAAAATTTACCTCTTTAGTTTCGTCTGATTGATCGCATTTTTTAGGTGTTTCTTGTTCTTCAGTTGATACTTCGTTGCTAGATTGATGATAACGATCACTTAATAGTCTTACTCGATCGTAAGCAGGAATTGCTAAGAAATAAAATTTTCTGCATTTATTTGTTTACATTCTTTTTTTTAAATGTTGAAGAAAAATTCGAATTGAGAGTATAGCGAGCAAATCAGATATTGTGAATCCGAAAAATCAATAATAGGAATCAGACCTAATATTTTTGTGAAACATGATCTAAAAGGACTGTTGAAGTATATAGGGGTAGAAATTTGCACCCACTACTCCCCGCCACAGACGTGACAGACATCTTTAGCAACGTCTTCTCCATCACAGATCGTGACAGACATTCTTTGCAACCCTCTATCACAGATGTGACAGACAGCCTTATACAAGCCACAGACTGTGACCGACACGCAAGGGCAGCGTCACAGACAGCTTTGTGAATAACATCTAGACTATGACCGGCAGTCTCACAGACCATAATAGACATAGATCTAAACTATTTCCGTGTCATCAGCCACAACAGCTATATCGTGTTTCACATTTTAATCCCGTAGGGATTGCGCTAACAGCTTTTTCTAAGACAAACATTTTTTACTCTTAATAACTGCTATTATCATGATGATAAAACATCAATTTATGAGAAACTTATTCACAACCACCTTCTGAACAGATAAATTTATTAAGACCACTGCATCCTCCTCAAAAAATGTCAATTTTCGTCAAAATTTCGACATTGAGATAAATGCATGGAAAGATAACTTGAGTTCTGCTCTTTCAAAAACAACATGATTTTTAATTTAATATCTCACTTTCGACCAAAATTTTTGATGATCTTCGTTGAAAAATATGCGTTTTTCACGTAAAACGAAAAATGTTTTTCGTTTTTTCTCGGTTTATGACTTCTTAACCGCGCAAACCAAATTTTCCTATCTAGACTCGTTCAATATAACGGGTGCGGCAGAAAAATGGCCGGTTTTTGATAAGCTAGCTGTTTTCTCAAGTTAGACTGAACGAAAAAGTTTCGTTCTGATGTCAAAAGATAGAGAATTTTATGTAAATTTTATTGATATGTTCTTTGCGAAATGAGCATTTGTCTTTCTCTTGTACTATGAAAGGTACTGAATAGCACAAAAACACCATTTGCTCAGCATTAAACTGGAATAAAGTATCAATTTTCTTTGTTAAATGATTTTACATACATTATTCAAACGCAGTGTTATAAAGTGTAGAGACGTATCTGTTTTTGATATGCAGTACCAAATTTATGGATAAAACTTTGTCATTAAAAAAACTGCTTGCAAAAAATACCGAATTATCCATTTTTGGTGCCTTTTATGCCAGGTAAAAGATCTCAACCTCATAACTAGTTTAGAAAAGGAATTCAGCCTTTATAATGAACTGTATTTTGTAGAGCTCGAAATTCCGTATCTGTTGATATAAAAAGAATAGTTTTTGTGAAATCCAGTTGTGGGAAAATCGGCAATGAAAAGTACGATTCTGCTGACCGAGGGCATTTTCTTGATGTTTTGTGTTTTTTGAAGCAGAAACAACTAAGCTTGAAAAAAATCAAGACATCACTAGGTATACTGAAAAATTTTGCATCGTTTAGTAACAAAAAGAAATTTTTGAGCTACAATTAATCGGACAAAAATTTCAGTTCAAAAATGTCTCATTTTGCAGTTGGGCAATTTGTGTTTTTCTGGTATATAGTATATTTAATGTTACAAGAGAAGGACAAATGCTCATTTCGTAAAGAACATATCAATAAAATCTACACAAAAGTCTCTATCTTTTAACATCAGAACGAAACTTTCTCATTCAATCTAACTTGAGAAAACAGCTTATCAAAAACCGGCTATTTTTTCTGCTGCACCTGTTATATAATTGTTTTTTTGTTTGAAAGAGCATGCTAAGATGCAGTGCAGTATAGAGTCCTTTTTTTCTTAACCCTTTCAGTCCCAAATTTTTTTTGCTGAGTCAATCTAAGTAAATCGTGAGATAAGTCTATCCTAGACGTAAATATATGCCATGAATAACACGTGCGTGCTTTGATGTGACATGCAACGTATAGATTCATTGAATTTTGGTGTACATCAGTGGAAAATACAGTTACTAAAGTTTATTAGTTAGAAAACTTACACAAGGTTTTGATGAAATATCAAAAAACAATTCTTATTTTTTTTACGCAAAGAGAAACGCCACAAAAACTGCATTTTATGGTACTAAATATTGGGGAATCTTTCGTGCTACTATATCGGCATCTTCCTTTAGACCCAGCGACAGGCATGTGCGCTAATAAGCGGGCTGATGAAGATGTGTTGTCCAGCGTTCGTTGAACTTATTTTTCCTTTGCTTGAGATAAATGGACAGGTCTACCTCTTCTTTTTCGCGAACTTTGATCACCAATCAGTGACACTGAGACGGAACAGAGAAATTCTATATAAGTCATATTTTTTTGACGCAAGTCATCGTAACAGACGAACGCATTCGAAAGAGCTGCTTGAAAAAAGTAAAGAAATATTCGAATCCAGTTTCGTCGGTATTTTCTATCAATTGAATAATGCGAAATTCGTTGATCAAAATAGTTGACACCACGCATGAGCTTATTATATTTTGAAACTACTTCAGGACAAGTAATAGATAGCTCTGAACCATCTTTTTCTGTTCTAGTAATCGTTTCAGTTAGTCTGGGATCGAATGAATTACTTGCAATAAAGACTGGTCTTTTGTCTTGCCATTTGACGACTGATATTTGGTTACAGGCATAGTATTTATAATCACCTCTTTCCAACTTATCTTTTTGTAGGAGTGCCTCGGGAAATAGCTTCCTATTTGTTCTTATTGTTACAATTGCTCCTATCTTTTTCTTTTCCAGATATAACAATAGAGGAAAAGTTGAGAAAAAACTGTCAAAAAATAATTGGTGTTTTACTAAACTGAGCTCTCTAATAAGGTGTAAAACAGCAGCTTCACCCGAGGTTCCTTGCTTTTTCTCTTGTTTACCGGCGTAGATGTCGAAATTATAAAGATATCTGGTGAAGGAATCTGCTAAACACCAGACTTTATATCCTCTTTTGATTGGTTTTGAAGGTAGATATTGTTTCAACAAACTTCTGCCTTTGAACTTGATCAAACTTTCGTCTATACAGATGTTGGCTCCCAAAACGAAGTTTTCTTGAAAATTCCTTTTCAGTAAGCAAATTAAGTCAAAAATTTTGAACAATTCGAACTCCTTGGAATTTCTTGATAATTGACTTTTTTACGTATTATCTAATAAATGCAATGCAGAAAATATTCGATAAAATTCGTTTCTAGGCATAACATTAGCAATGACTTCTGTGTAAAATATTTTGTTTCTACTCCAATAATCTCGAAATTGAGGCACTCGATGTAAACCCATAATAAGTAGTAAACCAAGAAAGGAACGGATACTAGTTTCATTCATTTTTTGCCAATTACTTGCCGATCCCTGTGCTAAAGATTTCTCTGCTCCGTAAATGTTTGTTTGTGTTACAATCATATCAATTATATCCATGGTGAAAAATTTATTGAACATATCGATTGGCTTCATGTTTTCAGTAAAACTTATGGTTGTATGCTCTTTGACGTCTTTCGAAGGAAAACTTGTATTTTGAATAAAGTTTTCGTTCCAATTCCACTCGGATTCTTGGTCCTCTTCATCTTCCACACTGTCGCTTCCTACATCTATTTCAACGTCACTTTCTGTGTCGTCGTATGAATCATTGTCGTCATCGAAAGATGAGGCGGTTGTGTTACTTTCTTCATCAGAATCCATTGATCTCTATCGCTGATGCGATTTGTCAGTTAGAAGTAAAGTGTAAAGAATCTGGAAGTTTATTTCAATTGCACGATAATTTATTGAAATGGGCATCAATTCAAAACGGAACCTTATATACGTATTTCAAGAATTAGTTGAGAATATTCTAGAACTTTCTCAATAGAAGATGCTATACCTCCTCAAGAGATTATTTGAAAAGCTTCTAGAACATTCTCTATTCCTTTATTTTAAAAGAATATATAAATTTCTTTATTGATCATGTTGTGAAAGGCAATTATAAAACAGACGTAGCTTTTTTTATACTATGGGACTGAAAGGGTTAATTAAGCTTTGCGTTTTATTATACATACAAACGCCTTTGTACACTGGCGTCCATTTTTAGACAATTCTTTGAGTCATTGAACTTGTCATCCTTTTTCTCTGCATAAAAAGAACGAATTATAAAAAAAAGGACTTGCATTGCACTGCATCCTGCATGCTCTTTCAAAACAAGAAAAAATTTTTAATATATTGAAAGAGCCTAGACAGCGAAAAATGGATTGCCAAATGAGATATTTTGGCCACTGGTCGATGCATATCTCTGCCAAACGTCATAGTAGAGAGCTGGAAATTTTACCATAGCCTCCTCACTTCAACGCCAACATATCCTCCAAATGTCAACCCATTTAAATATATCCGGACCGAAATCAGTTTTTGAGGCCTTAAACCAGACTGACTAATGAGGGAAGGCAACGGATTGAGAAAGTGCTTTTAAAATTTTAGTGATGCCAATTTGTAGAGCTTGTTGCGTTATTAATTAATATAATAACCATTCGGGCCAACAGCGCGTTTTAATAGTGAACCTATATATATAATGTTCAGTGTCTGTACCGGTCAGAGATTAACGGTGGTGATGATTGATCTTTGGGTTTTGATTTTGGTACAGACATTCACCATGAAATATCACTTTACACGGTGAATGTTTGCATGTCTGTACCAAAGTCAAAACCTAAAGATCAAACATCACCACCGTTAACCTTTGACCGGTACAGACACTGAACATTATATATATAGATTCACTATTAAAACTCGCTATTGGTCCGAATGATTATTATAACAGGTGGTGCGAAAATATCTGGACAAAATGTTTCTTCATTTTTTGATCGATTAAGAGGATCAGTAGAAAGTGTTAAACGTATGCTCAGAATCAGAATTTTGTGTACCTTCAGGATCTATGTTGAGAATTTTTGTGAGGCTCGTATATTAGGAGTTATGAGAAAATCTTTGAAAGCTCCTAAAATCGATGTTGGACGGAGAAGGTTCCACTAACGAATTCTGAGACAAAGAATGTGACCGTATCCTGGTGTAAATTGGTTTCATGCTATTGCTCAGTGATTTTTCTCGTTACTTTCATATTTCTGTCGTAAGAACGTCCATTTCGTTTTCTTCCATTTTCGTTTCTTTGACTGTATTACGTTTTAAATTTTTTTGGATCAGCACTTGAATAGTGAACTGCCTTGCCAGCAATGATATCCCTTATTGTATGCGTTATATTAACGATCTTTTGCACAGCATAAGGGCTGAGATTGTCCTTTTTAGGATCAGCTAAGAACTGAGAATCTAGCGGTCATCAGTCAGAAACGATTGAGTTCACTTTGTAAGTCTGGAAATCAAGGAATTGCGGGCACGTCATTGTATCTCTTACCAAAACTCTGATTCTCGATAGACGCCTAAAAGAAAACCGATGATCGAGATATCTTTTTTTCGAGAAATGTTTGCTCTTTCTATCGGTATATGCAGAATAAATGTCAGCTCTATCCTGAACGTTTTATTAAGCACTGAAGACCGTCTAACCATAATTTTCAGAGCTTTCAAAGATTTGCTCATAACTCCTAATATATGAGCCTCACAAAAATTCTCAACATAGATCCTGAAAGTACACAAAAATCTGATTCTGAGCATATGTTTAGCACGTTCTATTGATCTTCTTAATCGATCGAAAAATGAAGGAACATTTTGTCCAGATATTTTCGCATCACACATTATTAATTAATAACTCAACAAGTTCTACAAATTGGCATCACTAAAATTTTAAAAGCGATTTATCAGTCCATTGCCTTCCCTTGTAAGTATGATTTCATTGACTATGTTGAGTCTGTCTATTTTAAAAGAACATGTTTTCATACTTGATGTTTCATCATCTTCATTATTTTCAAGTCCTTTTTGATCATCGTTTTTCATATGTAAATGTTGTGCTTCAAAAAGACCACGATAAACTCCTCCTACATTCATTAATGTTTCATGATTTCCTAAAAATAATCATTCTTTAAAAGATCGATTTTATTGATTATTTGTTTTACCTTCTTCAATTACTGATCCTTTATTAAGAACAATTATTTTTGATGCATTTACAATAGTTGATAAACGATGTGCAATAACAATTGTTGTACGTCCTTTTGATGCACGATCAAGAGCTTCTTGTACAACATGTTCACTTTCTGTATCAAGAGCACTCTATATAACATAATATTCAATCAAATTCAATCAACTTAATCATCCTATTTCTTCTTACTGTTGCTTCATCAAGTAAAAGAATATGAGGATCACGAATAAGTGCACGAGCAATAGCTAAAAATATTATTCAAAAAATAAAAATTAATTATATTTTATTAAATAACCACCATACCTATTCGTTGTTTTTGACCCTAAAAAAGAAAACAAATAAAAGCAAATCTTAAATGATTAAATTATTTCATACTCCACTTAATTGTGCACCACGTTCTCCAACTAGTGTATTATATTGTTCTGGTAATTGCATTATAAAATCATGTGCATTTGCCATTTTTGTTGCTTGTTCAATTTCATCTTGTGTTGCATCCATTTTTCCAAAAAGTATATTTTCTCTTATTGTTGTATGAAATAAAATTGGTTCTTGTGAAACAATACCAATATGTTGTCGAAGCCAACTGAGATTATATTGATTAACACTAATACCATCAATTTCAACTGTACCATCGATTGTATCATAAAATCTTTGTAATAATTGCATACATGTACTCTAAATCAGTTAATGATGTTTGTTTCTTTTTTTGAGAATTTTGTCTTAAAATAAGATATTTACTTTTCCACAACCAGAAGTACCAACAAGTGCTGTTGTTTGACCTTGTTGAGCTGTAAATGTAAGTCCATTAAGAACAGGAACATCAGGTCGAGACGGATAAACAAAATGAACATTAGAAAACTTTATATCGCCGATTAAATCTTCTTTTTGTATACAATTTAGATTACTTATTGTAATTGTCGATGGCTAAAATATAGAAAATGATTTTATTTGAAGTTCACAGCTTTATTTCTTTTTTTGTTTGATACCGTATCGATTATTTTCCATAATGTATAAGCTGCACCGCGTGCTTGCGCTACTAACTGAAGATGAGGAGCTGCTTGACCAAGATTAAATACTGCTGTAGTAATTGAAAAAAAGACCTGCAAAAAATACAAGCAAAAAGTCTAAATTATTTCCAGTAAACATTAGTTTTACAATAAGAATTCCACCAATTGAATAATTCTCTTCTCGAACAAGTTTGGCTCCATACCAAAAACTCTATCAACAAAAGAAAATATTTTAAAATATTAAATAACAAATACTATACCAAAGCATAAGCGCAACACACTATTAACCAGATGCCACCCATTAAAATTCCATTTAAAGCTCCTTTACGAATGCCACTAATCTTAGCTGATCTTAAATGTTTTTCATATCTATCAAAACAAAAAAAAATATGTACGAAATGTCGATTAATTAAATATAATCTCTGACCTTTTCGATTCATAAGCCGCTCCATTATATGAAAAAACAGTCCGTATATTACTAAAAACTTCTTCAGCAATAGCTCCAGCTTTTGCATATGCGTGCAATTCTTGCGATGTCATTGTTGCTGTAATCTATTTAAAAAAAAATTCAAATAAAATAAATTCTCATAGTTTTCTATATACTTTTGTGAAGATAACTGCACTAAGAAAAAGTAATGGACTAACAGAAAGTATAACTAATGTCAATTTCCATCCTTTAACTAATCTAAATCAAAAAGATAAAATTCTATAAAATAAATTTATTCAACATACCCAAGTATCAGACCCGCAATAAAAGCAGCAAGAAATTGTAATGCTAAACCGAGCTTATCCCCTATACCATCATGTACTTTATTAACATCTTCTACCAATCTTGTATTAAGTTGACCCATTTTAGTCATATCAAAATAAGCTATTTCTTTATTAAGTATTGATCGAAGAAGTGTTTCACGAAGGCGACGTGTTTGACGTTCACATGTAATAGACCAAAAAGAAACTTGAAAATATCCGACTACAATTGTTCCACATCCTATAACTAAAATTAGGGGAAAAAAACAATTAAATAAAATCTATTAAGAAATAAATCAAAAAATAAAATAAAACTATATCTATTGTAAGAGAAAAGATTTCGTCACATCTATATTCAATGATGCAAACAAAATCTTAATTTTAGTGTTATTGTATTTCATAAAAATCTTTTTGATAAAAGAGCAACACTCACTAGCAAGCCATATAGATTGTTGACGGATATTTGCTAGAAGGTTAATCTCTGGCAATGTGTAGTTTATTGCTGATAAGTTACATTTTCTATATCAATAATATAAAATAAAACTTAGAAAAAAAAATGAAATGAAAAACATACGTATATTCAGTAAAAAAATTTTCCGGAGTAAGATGAACATTGGATGGACAAGCTTGGTCAACTATTGTAAAATTAACATAACATAGTTTAAATATTCGATCAGTAAATATATCCGCTAAATTTCCGAGTATAAGCAACACTAAAAAGATGTTAATGTTAAAATGCCGAAAATTCAAAGTTTCAGCAAAATTTTTTTAAATTTATTTTCCGACAGTTGGATAGAACTAACAAAACTGAATGAGAACGTTTAGTTCTCCATTTTGTTCAAAAGGTAACTAGTAAGAAAAAACTCAAAAAACTGATAGAGCCACATTTTTCGAAAAAAGGTTCATTTTGGAAAAATAGTATCGAATTTGTTTCTCTGATTTTCGAATAGTTCCAAAACTAAAGCGGTGGACATAAATTTAACACATTTTTGTTTTTGCTATAACTCAAGAGGGAACCTCTCGAGGTGTAACCTCCCATTTTGATTCATTTACATCTCATTTGTGTGAGCATATTGAGATAGTAAAAATCCTAAAAGGATTTGGGTTCCTGCAACTTCTATCAAGAGTTATGACCGTTTTACTGAATTGTCGACCGATTCCTAGGTATTTACTGTAAAAATAAAATTAGGGAATTTCGATCTGAAATTACGTCCACAAATAAGCCCAGTGGTCCTTAAAATATTCTGAAAGTTTTAGCCAAAAACAGTGTTCCTTTCTCGAGATATTGATTTTTCAAAAAATAGTCGCTTGCCATAAATACGTTACAAAAACTGAGTCTACTCGAAAAATTAATATCTCGAGAAAGGAACACTGTTTTTGGCTAAAACTTTCAGAATATTTTAAGGACCACTGGGCCTATTTGTGGACGTAATTTCAGATCGAAATTCCCTAACTTTATTTTTACAGTAAATACCTAGGAATCGGTCGAAAATTCAGTAAAACGGTCATAACTCTTGATAGAAGTTGCAGGAACCCAAATCCTTTTAGGATTTTTACTATCTCAATATGTTCACTTAAATTAGATATAAATGACTCAAAATGGGAGGTTATACTTCGGGAGGTTTCCTCGTCAGTCGCATTTACAGCTAGAGATCTGATTCTTTCATAATTAGAAAGACTTTGTTAAGGAC